AGCTTGAGCCAATGAATATTGAATTTCCAGTTAGAGAACTCTCCTATGTTGATATGAGCAATTCAGATGGAAACAGTTAAGTCAGCTCAAAGGTTTGAGATGCAAGCCACTCACTGCCTGTCTTTTTGTATTAAACTACAGATAGCAGCAAATAGTCTAGAAATTGGTAGAAAGGTTCTGATGGGAATCATCCTTCAGCAATATTTGATTAGAATGCTTTTAACTTCCTGCTTCCTTCAGCCACAATAGTGTGATTCAGGGAATTTCAGTTCCAGGACACAAAAGAGGTTTATGAGCTGCAATGGCTTCTCCGGTGTGCATGGTATTGGGCAGGTGGGTAGGCAATTTCTAGATGTTGTGCCATCGTTGATGGGGCAGGAAGCAGATGTTAAATTATCCTTCGGTGTTATTTTCTGTGTAGGCATCTGTGGGGCTGGATTTACATGGAACCACAAGGAAATATTCCTTCAGCTACATCCCACCAAAGAGTCCCTGCCAGCCCAGTCTCAGGTGCCTTCTCACCACCCCAATAGGATCTGGGACTGGAATGTAAAGATGTCAAGGTAGGGGGGCAGTGGCAAGCAAGTGGTCTGATGCCACTCCCCTCTAAGTCAGAGAGACCAGAAGGAGGAGACTCAGATGAGCTCTGACTTACAAAGCCAGGTCTGTGGGCTGTAGAGAGGCCTCTCTTACATCACTCCATGCAGCTCAGGTTCAGCTTAGACTTTGTCCAGACCACCAGGATCTGACCTACTACCGTGCTTTTCAATCAAGTTCAGCCAACCATTATCAAAGAAAGTCTAGAGAGTTCTGTAAGCCAAAGGTGACACACATGGGGAGGATGAACTCCCTTTTGGCCTGAACCTGGACTTTCATTAACTGGATTTTCCATCTTACTCTGAGTTCTTCATTCCTTAAGGGGCAGAACCCCCTACTTCCAATTCTGCAACTAAACGTTCACAAAGCTTATTCTACCTCAGGTTTGTTTTTTGTTTTTTGTTTTTTTTTTAGTTGTTGTTGTTGTTGTTTGCTTTTTTATCTCTGGATGAAAGTTTCCCTAAGACACTGTAGCCCCTGTCTCATGATCCAGGACTAATGGTAAGGGAGGCCAAGTCACTCATGTTTGTGTAAAGTACTAGAACCTTTACTAATTCTTAATATCAGTGGCGGTTATCTTCCTCTTCTCTTCAGGCTACAATGAGGCAATGACCATTCCTTCAGGGTTAGTGTGAGTATCATGTAGTCCAGTGACACGGAAACATTCAAATCTGTTTTATAATTTCTGAGAATGAGAAACAGAAAGAGAGAGTGTATTGACTTGTGGCATGTAGACATTTGAAGATAGATTAAATACATTTTCATCATTGCATGGCCATAATCCTAGAGTGACCTTGATTAGAATGTAGTCAGTTGATTGAAAATTCTCTGAGGTAGTAAGATATATTTGAATCTTTATCTCTCATTGGCTTTCTTTAGAGTGCTTATGGATCTTTTAGTGTTA